AGAAGAGTGTAAAGTAGAAAATGTATTATTTCATTTGACATGTATGAGTAACTTAATCATCATACATATTTCTTGTCATTTAACAAACTAACCATGATGTTAATAACCCTTCAAAATGCTTAATATATATATAATTACACTAGAGAATACCCCTTAATGTATATTAACTCATCTTTTCATTTTCTGGCAACCCTCATTTTGTAATTACTATTTCAAACAACCTTGTACATGTTCATCATCGCTGTTTACCTTGCCTTCTGCATATGCAGTCCATCATGGCTATTTAATTTGTGTATTTGACAGATGTGGCCATTAAATTATTTGAAAAACATCCACTTGAATTGACCTTTGCAAGAGATGAAGAGCAGCTAACATCATTGCATATGCTGGCGCGAAAGCCTTATTATGAAGTTCTAGGTAAGCTTCATTATCTTTGTTCTTAATTTAAAATTTATGCATCTATATATTTTTAAATAAGAATTACTTCTTAAGGGTCAGTATTGAGTGTTATAAGGGTAATATATTTGATATTTATTAAGTTATCAGTCTCATGATACAAAGTTATAGCAACTGACAAACAAATATTACACTTTCAAAATTTTAAGTAAGGAGTATATAGAACTTTCTAAATAGAAATAAAACAAAGAAAATGTGCTTAATATAAGATCAACTTTTAATTTGAGTTTTTTTTTTTTATTTGTTTTCATGTTAATAATTTCTCGGACCAATCTAGAAAGCTATGGTATGGAATTGGTGCAGAGGATATGGACTAAAGTTAAAAAACTGAAAATCGGAGACATTTCTGCGTTGACTACTAAACCATCCGCAGTGTTGTCTGATCTATTAGAAACAGACGATTACTACCGAATACAGTATTTTATGAGGAGTTTTACAATAATCACGGCGGATTCTTATGGGCGGAACCTACTGCACTTGTTTGATCTTCCATGTGATAAAAAACAGTATTTACTAAGAGCAGTGGACGATGAAGGTAACAACGTTCTACACCTGGCTGCGCTTTTGCCCCCTGAATTCAAATCATTCTCAGGTTTAAGTGCAAAAATTCAAATGAAAAAAGAGCTCTCTTGGTTCCAGGTAAATTTATTCATTTCCTAATTCCTTATTCAATCGTTCTTTATTAAATAGTATTGTGACGTTGCATAACCTTAAATTAGGGATAGATTTTAAATTAATCTTATTTTATCTTTATAGCATATGTCTCGGTGATTTTGATAAAGATAAGACAGATTGGTAATTTTGGTTTTTCATTATTAGATTGAGGTAGTGTATTATTTTATTGTTGATAAAGATAAAGATAGATTAAGTAGTATTGTTTAGATTAAGCTATTAAGATATTACTTTTATTTTTGTTCTTTGTTCTTGATTAAAAATCCTATGTTCACCTATTTAAAGAATGTCATGGTTCAATGAAAAAATCATCACATTGAGTTTTATCGCATCTATTTTGTGTGTTATCTATATTTAACAAAGTTGTATCAGAATTTTCATGCTCTGAGTGTCGGGTGACAGAAAAAAAATAGAGTCAACATGCTTGAGAAAAATAAAAGATTGAGATGACCAATCTTGTAAACGGTATTTGTTTGCCACAATTATGGAGGAAAACCAATTATGATAATTGGAGTTTGCAAATAAGAGTCCTTCTTAGATACCAAAATGTATGGGATGTGGTGGAGAGCGAGTACTAAGAACCCAAGAAGGACAAAGAACAGACGGTAGTCTAAACTGTTACATTGAAAAAGATCTGAGTGAAAGACAAATCGACTTTATACCAATTGTACAGAGCAGTGGACGAATCAGACTTTAAGAAGATAGCAAAAGTTGCATCTTCAAAAGAAGCCTGGGAGATCCTTGAGATAACGTATAAAGGGGACAACTGTGTTAGGTAGATCTGCTTCAAACTCCCAGAGAGGAGTTTGAAAATCTAAAGATGGAAGACAGAGAATAAGTGACTGGGTACATAATTTGGATGGAGAAAGTGGCAAAATCAACTCGGCAAGAATGAAGAACCGTTGCCAGCCTGCCAGGTTGTGAAGAAAATTTTGAGATCATTAACAAATGATTTTGAAAGCAAAGTTTGCACCATTAAGGAGTCCAAGGACCTATCAACACTTTTAGTTGAAGAGTTTGTTGAGTCACTTAAGGCACACAAACAACGTAGAAAGAAGTACTTTCAACCACTTGATCAAGCACTTCAAACACAACATAACGTGAAGGAAGATGCTCAGAACATAGGGCCAAGGTCTTGAAGGACGTGACAGAGGTGATTTTAAAGATGACAGGAAAGAGCAAATCGGTCAATAAAATCGGTGTGACCGAAGACAAGGGAACAGTCGAGGAGGTCAGTGAAGAATGGAGTGTTTTAAGTGTGACTAGCACAACTACTATATAAACGAGTGCAGATTGACGAAGTGCTACAACTGTGGTAAGAAAAATCTTTTTACAGAGGAAGATGATAAAGAAATAGTTAAATTAATGTCAAAGAGCTCAAAGGCTAACCTGCCAAGATGGAGATCAGATGTCGAGCTATTTCCAGGTTGTGTCGAGCTGATTGTTGTCAAACTAAATCTGAGTAGGAGATTGGAAGTCGGGCACGAGGAGAACTCAAGAAGCTTCGTCAAGTAGCGTAGGGAGCCCAACATTGTGGATGGAAAGCTCGAAATTTCTAGTAGAGAGCTCTGAAGTGCAAAGCTCAATGTAGATAAGAGTTCGACATAATGTGCAGAGAACTCGATTGAGAGCCTGGTGAAAAGCAACTGTTGAATTGTTTGAGAGCTCGGTGAAGAGCTCGAAAGAAGAGGTCACTGTGCAATTGGAGAGCTCAATGAGCCTAAGAGAACAAGAAGGAAACTTGGATGAGCAATTGAAGAGCTCGACTTTCTTGGTTCAATGACTACATAACTCGGTGAAGTGTAAGACATGCTCGATTAACCTGATGGGAAGCTGGGAAAGGTTGGCAAAGAGTGTGGATAGTCCAAAAGGGGACATCCAGAGCTCGACAAAAAGGGTTGAGATGATGCCAAGCTCAACAAAGATGTTGGAGATCATAATGATGAGGGTGGCGAACCTGGAGATGAAAATGACGACGATAAAACACGATAAAATATTGGAGCTCGTGGAGTAGAAAGTAAGGCAATCAAAGATGTTGGTGAAACTGATACAAGAGGTCGTGAATAAGAAACTCCAAGAAATATATGAGGAGATATAGGTCTAAGGAAAGTCAATTGGAAGCTTCAAGAAAAATTGAAGATTTTTAGCATGGAGAACCAAATATGGAGGGAGTTAGCATAAAATAATATGAAACAGGATCCTACAAATGTTAGCAAGGAGAACCACCATCATAGTGAAGTAGCCGCTAACAAGTCGAATTTCTATGTATCCGCTAACAAGTCGAATTTCAGAAACAATGATATTGGATGTAGAATCATGATTGTGGGGATAGTCGCGAAGAAAATCATAAAAGAGTTGAAGCGTGATAGATCGTGGTGATATCAATGTTAATGGAAAGAAGGCCACAGCAAACAACAAATAAACAAATGTTAAAAACAAGTTAGTCAAGGTCAAGAAGAGGTCGACAATAATGAAAATGAAGTCTATAAAAATAATTAGAAAGTCAGTCAAAATAATAGAGAAGTCGATAATGATAAAAATTTAGAATCCGAATCTGATTGAAAGAAACAAGTCCGAGGTGGGGTGATGTATATAAAAATCTGAAATATAGGAATGAAAGATAAAAAATTTTAAGTTTATGGAAGAGGTTTGTTAAAAAAACTTAAATTAAATATAAATTTTAAATCTTATTTTATCTTTGCCACATATGTTGTGGTGGTTTTGATTCCTAATTATTAGTTTAGGTCCAGTAATTTTAGTTTGATTTTGAGATAGATAAAATAAATTGATAATTTTGATTTTCTATTATTAGACTGGGATGGAGTATTTATTCTTTTGTTTATATAGATAAAGATAGATTAAATAGTATTATTTAGATTAAAGAGGGAATATTATCTTTTTGTTTTTATTCTGTGCATCTATGCTATGGGTCAGGAAAAAAAAACGCCATAAGTAAGTTTTAGTGCATCTATATTTCTTTGTGTGTCATCTATATTTAACGTGTAAGAGTTCCAGAAATCTTGACACGAACTTGTGGTTGATAAATAGGGTTTGATGAAAAGAGTTCCTGATGAATTAAGGATTATGAGAAACAAGAAGGGGAAGACACCAATTGAAGTATTTTATGATGAACACAACCAGTTATCCAAAGATATCAAAGAATCTGCTAAAGGAATAGCTGAGTCTGGGATGGTTGTGGCAACGCTTGTTGCTACTGTAGCATTTGCAGCTGCTCTCACTGTTCCAGGTGACAAGAAATCTGTTAACAATGCCTGGTTCATAGTTTTCATAGTCACAAATGCAATCGCACTGTTCACTTCTTCTGCGTCCATACTCTCTTTCTTGTCAAATTTCACTTCTTCAAGATTCGGAAACGCTGAATTTGTTATATCACTACATCCCAGCTTGACTTTTGGCTGGGAGTTACTAATAATCTCCGTTGCTGCTATGGTTGTGGCTTTCGTTGCAGCATCCTTTCTGATATTTGATCACACAACAAAATGGGTTTCTTATGTAGTGACTCCAATGGGGTTTTTCCCATTGCTTGTGTTTATTCTCTTCCAATCTAAGTTCTTCGACGACTCCTATTGGTCTAAATACTATCATCCCAAACTTGAACTCAGGCACCTACGTTAGCATCATTAAGTGTGTTATCCTATATTTTTCTGTCTTAATTACTCCATGGTTGTATTCTCCACCTCATTGTATAATTTGTTTTTGAAATAACAAAGTTTGTGCTTGAATTTGAAATTATTGAACATGGATATCATATCACTTTGAATGTACTTTTTTATTAAATTTTATGCTTAATGTTTGGTGTAGATTAATTCTATACTTTGTGATTTTTGATTTATTGAAAAATATGACTTAAAACTTAAAAGTAAAATAAAATACTTATATTTAGAGATAGAATATGACTATTAAATTTTTGAACTTAATATATAGTGAAGACTTCTACCCACAGTTATAATAATTTTAGGAGTTTACTATCCCCGTAACCTTCTAATACCATGTAGCACATTTACCTATAATTCCAAAACTTCTCATTCTTTCCATTGTTTAGGTCTGTTGACTGTCTTCTCACAATCTGGCCTTACAATATTTAAACGAGTAAGCACTGTAACTTCTTCCAATGAACTAAAAGACTTGTTTGGATAATTTTATTTTATCAATACCCATAAAAGATGAAAAATAAGAAACATTAATAAAATAAGGTTTTAACAATTACTTTACTGCTAACTTTTTTATATTTTTAACCATGCACGTGTTTGATAAATTTGCGCAGCATGAGAAAAAATTCATATCCACCAAACAAATATGAAATAAATTTAAACATATAATTGGATTATATAAACGAGTGAGTAACGTTGAATAAATAATAAATTGGAGTAAAATAGATAATTAATTAAATAAAATCTAGAATTATATCCGTTCAGAGCTAAGGTTTTGTAATAAAATATCTTTTTGTTATTTTTTATTAATTATATAAATTTCCAACAACACAAGTACTTGGCAGCCTCTCTCCAAGGGTTGTTGCAGCCTTTACCTATACCTCAAGCAATCTGGGAGGAGATTAGTATGGATTTTATAGTAAAATTGCCCAAATATCATGGGTTTGATACTATACTAGTGGTGGTGGATAGACTCAGCAAATATGGCCATTTTATCCATGTTAAATACCCTTATACAGCCAGGTCAATAGCTGAAGTGTTCGTGAAGGAAGTGATTAGGCTTCATGGGATACCTATGACTATTGTCAGTGATCGAGACTCCACATTCTTGAGTGCTTTTTGGAGGGAGATTTTCCGCCTACAGGGAACACATCTGAACATGAGCACTCCTTATCATCCAGAGTCGGATGGACAAACAGAAGTTTTGAATAGGGTGCTGGGAACTTACTTGCGCTGTTTTAGTTCAGAACAGCCCAAGATTTGGAGTACAGTATTGCCTTGGGTGGAATTTTGGTACAACACTAGTTACCAAGGAGCATCCAAATGCACACCTTTTGAAACTGTATATGGACAACTGTTAGTTGCAAAACCAACGGCAAGTTCACCGGTCGCAACGTAGCAAGTGATAAATATCGTTCTCTCCCAAGGGACTTGTGCAACACATGATAATTCTTCCATTCATAAATCACTTAGACATCAAAGTGCACAAAATAACACAAGAAACTCGTTTTGGTATTTTTATCAAACAGTTGGTGTGCAAGGAATTTAACATAGAGTATTTACAATTTGTTAAGACTATAATTCATCCATTTCATTCTCATGCATTCACAAACATCTCAATTTCATCCAATAGGTGTTCAATTTCAGTTCTAGGTTCAATTCATATTTCTCAATACATCAAGAACCAAAATTCATGCATGGGGGATCAATTCAAAAGCAAGCATTAAGCATAGAAATTGAATACTAACATGAATTGGAACAACATATATCATTAACATTACAAAATACATAAGAATTCCATGTTTTACAACTAATCTCAACAAATAGGAAAAACCCTCCATGGTGGAGAACTTAGGGTTCTACAAAATTGAAGAGATAAGGAAGAAATTGAAACCATAGAAGTGTACATAGCCTTTCCCAAGGTTCTTTACAGCTGCTCCATGCTCCAATTGCGCTTCCCCTTCGCATCTCCATCTCCAATTCGTGACCCATCTTCTTCCTCAACCCAAAAGGGGCAAAATCACCATTGATGAAGCTTGAAGACCCAAGGAGGAAGATGGGTTGTTCCCACAACTCCTAGCTCACCTCCAAGTGCTCCAGGTGAAGGAAAACGCGTCCAGCTCCAGGAAGATGCAAAGCCCTTCGAGTTTCAGTCCTAAATAGACCAAATTTGCCACATCAGCATTGTCACCGCTCAACTGCACCCCAGCGGCAGCATTCTAGAGAGTTGGCGCTCAGCGGCACGCCAGCTGCACTCCAACGACAGCATTCCAGAGAGCTAGCGCTAAGCTGCACAAAAACTATGCCGCTCAGCTACAGCAAGTCTGGTCGGGTGGCGCTCAACTGCACGCCAGGNAAGTCGATAATGATAAAAATTTAGAATCCGAATCTGATTGAAAGAAACAAGTCCGAGGTGGGGTGATGTATATAAAAATCTGAAATATAGGAATGAAAGATAAAAAATTTTAAGTTTATGGAAGAGGTTTGTTAAAAAAACTTAAATTAAATATAAATTTTAAATCTTATTTTATCTTTGCCACATATGTTGTGGTGGTTTTGATTCCTAATTATTAGTTTAGGTCCAGTAATTTTAGTTTGATTTTGAGATAGATAAAATAAATTGATAATTTTGATTTTCTATTATTAGACTGGGATGGAGTATTTATTCTTTTGTTTATATAGATAAAGATAGATTAAATAGTATTATTTAGATTAAAGAGGGAATATTATCTTTTTGTTTTTATTCTGTGCATCTATGCTATGGGTCAGGAAAAAAAAACGCCATAAGTAAGTTTTAGTGCATCTATATTTCTTTGTGTGTCATCTATATTTAACGTGTAAGAGTTCCAGAAATCTTGACACGAACTTGTGGTTGATAAATAGGGTTTGATGAAAAGAGTTCCTGATGAATTAAGGATTATGAGAAACAAGAAGGGGAAGACACCAATTGAAGTATTTTATGATGAACACAACCAGTTATCCAAAGATATCAAAGAATCTGCTAAAGGAATAGCTGAGTCTGGGATGGTTGTGGCAACGCTTGTTGCTACTGTAGCATTTGCAGCTGCTCTCACTGTTCCAGGTGACAAGAAATCTGTTAACAATGCCTGGTTCATAGTTTTCATAGTCACAAATGCAATCGCACTGTTCACTTCTTCTGCGTCCATACTCTCTTTCTTGTCAAATTTCACTTCTTCAAGATTCGGAAACGCTGAATTTGTTATATCACTACATCCCAGCTTGACTTTTGGCTGGGAGTTACTAATAATCTCCGTTGCTGCTATGGTTGTGGCTTTCGTTGCAGCATCCTTTCTGATATTTGATCACACAACAAAATGGGTTTCTTATGTAGTGACTCCAATGGGGTTTTTCCCATTGCTTGTGTTTATTCTCTTCCAATCTAAGTTCTTCGACGACTCCTATTGGTCTAAATACTATCATCCCAAACTTGAACTCAGGCACCTACGTTAGCATCATTAAGTGTGTTATCCTATATTTTTCTGTCTTAATTACTCCATGGTTGTATTCTCCACCTCATTGTATAATTTGTTTTTGAAATAACAAAGTTTGTGCTTGAATTTGAAATTATTGAACATGGATATCATATCACTTTGAATGTACTTTTTTATTAAATTTTATGCTTAATGTTTGGTGTAGATTAATTCTATACTTTGTGATTTTTGATTTATTGAAAAATATGACTTAAAACTTAAAAGTAAAATAAAATACTTATATTTAGAGATAGAATATGACTATTAAATTTTTGAACTTAATATATAGTGAAGACTTCTACCCACAGTTATAATAATTTTAGGAGTTTACTATCCCCGTAACCTTCTAATACCATGTAGCACATTTACCTATAATTCCAAAACTTCTCATTCTTTCCATTGTTTAGGTCTGTTGACTGTCTTCTCACAATCTGGCCTTACAATATTTAAACGAGTAAGCACTGTAACTTCTTCCAATGAACTAAAAGACTTGTTTGGATAATTTTATTTTATCAATACCCATAAAAGATGAAAAATAAGAAACATTAATAAAATAAGGTTTTAACAATTACTTTACTGCTAACTTTTTTATATTTTTAACCATGCACGTGTTTGATAAATTTGCGCAGCATGAGAAAAAATTCATATCCACCAAACAAATATGAAATAAATTTAAACATATAATTGGATTATATAAACGAGTGAGTAACGTTGAATAAATAATAAATTGGAGTAAAATAGATAATTAATTAAATAAAATCTAGAATTATATCCGTTCAGAGCTAAGGTTTTGTAATAAAATATCTTTTTGTTATTTTTTATTAATTATATAAATTTCCAACAACACAAGTACTTGGCAGCCTCTCTCCAAGGGTTGTTGCAGCCTTTACCTATACCTCAAGCAATCTGGGAGGAGATTAGTATGGATTTTATAGTAAAATTGCCCAAATATCATGGGTTTGATACTATACTAGTGGTGGTGGATAGACTCAGCAAATATGGCCATTTTATCCATGTTAAAAACCCTTATACAGCCAGGTCAATAGCTGAAGTGTTCGTGAAGGAAGTGATTAGGCTTCATGGGATACCTATGACTATTGTCAGTGATCGAGACTCCACATTCTTGAGTGCTTTTTGGAGGGAGATTTTCCGCCTACAGGGAACACATCTGAACATGAGCACTCCTTATCATCCAGAGTCGGATGGACAAACAGAAGTTTTGAATAGGGTGCTGGGAACTTACTTGCGCTGTTTTAGTTCAGAACAGCCCAAGATTTGGAGTACAGTATTGCCTTGGGTGGAATTTTGGTACAACACTAGTTACCAAGGAGCATCCAAATGCACACCTTTTGAAACTGTATATGGACAACTGTTAGTTGCAAAACCAACGGCAAGTTCACCGGTCGCAACGTAGCAAGTGATAAATATCGTTCTCTCCCAAGGGACTTGTGCAACACATGATAATTCTTCCATT